CTGTTCCTAGTAGCTTCTTGTTACTACTAGTAAGGCACTTGTTACTACTAGCGTGGCACCTGTTCCTAGTAGCTTCTTGTTACTACTAGTAAGGCACTTGTTACTAGAAGCGATGCCCTTTGCTCCTAGTAGCGTCCTTGCTCCTAGTAAGGCCAGGTGTTCCTAGTAGCGATGCCAGGAGCCCCGTTCGTAGCGTCCTCCTGTGATAAAGAAACAGAAATGAACAGGACAAAATGAGATGCTTTGCGTAGAATGCCAAAGTGGTCTTTCGCTCGCTGCATCTCATCTGAGCTCGCTGCACGGCTTCAGATAGAGACGCCACCGTCAAGTGCGCATCTTCCATGGAGTCGCGCCAGCCCTCGAGGGCTAACCGTTACATCCCACGGGTTGCCCCTGCCTGCTCTGCCTCACTTAATTCGGTAGAGACTACCTTCTTAATGGTGGGGGGGGAAGTAATCTCATTACTAAGAGAAGTTCTCTCATGGCCAGGACGCAGGTTCCTAGATTTTTAGACATAGTCCACACAGAGTGATGCGAATTGCTCATACTTGTTCATGGTTTGGTAGTGATGGATCGTTCCGCTGGGTGACGAATGCTGATGGAATGTGGCTTTCGTGGCTTTTCATGCCATGTGCGGCATGCGCTTAAGGCTCTTGAGGCCCATCGCTATTAGGTTGGAGGCCATCGCTACTAATTAGATCGGAGGCCATGTGCGGCATGCGATTGAGGCTCTTGAGGCTTGGCATTGCGAACGCCTAACGATTTGTATCTTGCACTGTTATCGAAATCCACTCGGCCATTAATTCAGCCGGTGAGATCAGGTGCGGATCTGGCGCATAGCGATCGGCTGAAATTTCGCAATCGCAGCTTATCAGGCGATTTTGTTTGCCGCTGGAGCAATTCAACGGCCGATGTTATTGAGTCGTGGAGCTCATGATGTTACAGCCCCACTGTGCTCCAGCTTCAACAAACGTCGCACGCCTTTAACATTTTCCCCGACATCACACGCCGCAAGTGTCTGCGCTGGAAACAACGCACAGCATGCGCCATACGGCCATGCGGTAGCCGTATGGCCGTGACCATGTTGAGGAACAATCCACCCACACTCCAGGCCCAAGCGGTGCCTGCATTTCGGCCGTTGACCATGCCAGGTGACCCTTGAGGCCATCACCTCGAGGTGAGAATACAAAAGAATCGGACACTTAGAATGCCCCAGCTAGTAGCGATGCCCTTGTTACTAGAAGCTTCTTGTTCCTAGTAATGCCAGGAGCTATTAGTAAGCTTCTTGTCAATAGATGAAAATCATATGAAAAATCTGTTTCTTGTCAAGTTCCGCAGTGCCCTGAACGCCGAGATGCTGCAGTTCTTTTGTGTCACAGGGCTCCGGTAATCATCCTGCGCTGGCAAAACGGCAAATGGCTCGGTACCCGACTGTGGCCCTAGCAAACGGGTTTGAACAGACTGGGGCTGCACAGTTGAAACCTAAACCCTTCAGGATTTTTCAGAGGTCTCTCACGAGTTGCCGCCCGCCTACAAACAGAGCTTGGCTTGTTTGTTTGGTACAGTAGGAGGCTCAGCAGTAATGCTTTGCGTTGCGGGCTCTGTCTTCGAACAAAACTGACGTGCCAAAACGGACCATCCGGAACAATTTCTCACTCAATTCTTTCTTGAGCGGTGCTCAAAGGCCAAAACCGATGCGTCAAATCCTTGGAGCACGGCACATCGTCGACATCGTGTCACGACCGACATCGACCCGACTGACCACTCCTCATCAAGACCCTCATCATCCCCACGGAGGCAAACTCCTGCGATTGTCTCGAAATCACACTCTCTTCGTTTGCCTTGCACATGCTTCTTTCCTTTCCTTCACTCACATAAGCTCTGCTTTTTGCCTTTCTTTCTTGTTTGCTCTTTTGTTTTTGGTGTTTTCTTTGCTTTTGGCCCACATTCCGGCACTCCTGCCCGGCCCCCCCATCTGGGCAATCGATGTGGCTCACAGGTGACAGGGTGAGAC